AAATCAGCAGCCAACATCTGCAAGCCCATTGTGTGGCAGGGGTTGTCAGGAAAGAACGAGAAGCCAGATATCGTTTCCCTTGGACTGCATGAAAGTACAATCCTTCTAGAAGCCTCGGATCTGTATCCTCGCCCTCAGGTGAATCCGTCTTAAACATGACTGGCTGGAAAGCAAGTTCAAAGATCGCAGGCAAATAGCTGTTGATCAACAGTCCAACTCCAACAAAGTCAGAGGCTGGAAAGAGCTTCGTCCATTTATTTGGTGCCGGGATCGCAGGTAATGCGAGCATCAAGAGAGAGATAAAAGTTGAAGCCATCTTCTTGCAAGCATCGGCCCTTGAAGAACAATGATTATGGTAAGGACATCTGTGCTGGGGCTGCCCCGTATACGATCCGTTCCACATCTCCCTGAAAGCTTCTAGGTTCGTCTCGAAAATCCCTCTCCGCTTCTTGCCCTCACCAAGATCACCGGCGATGTCCTCGTCAGAATCTCTTCCGTGATGCCACACTTGGAGATAATCCAAAGTTTCCTGCATCAGTGGATCAGGATCCGCCAAACCTATATCGTCGGCCGACCAGCGCAAGTTTGCCTCTGGGAAGCTTGGGATCATAAACCTAATATTCGAATCTCGAATCTCACAGTCATAACTCATGCCTCATACAGATTCATACATAAGCATAACTCATAACTCGTACCCCCGAAAGCTAATCCAATCTGAACTCTGTATATTACCGTCCAAATCTCACTTGATACTATGCCTATTCCTATTCCACTATTCCTGTATATTTGTATATTATACATACTCCATAGTCCAATCGGTCTATGTCTATGTCACTGTCTATGTCTATGTCTAGTCTATGTCTATATCAATATCATATATTATATAATTATATTATATTATAATTATATATATATATATCATTTATCATTTATCATATCGGAAATTGAGCCCAAACCTGAAACTCGACCGAGATCCAACCTATAGATATTTTAGCCCACAAATAAAATACCACAGAAGCCCGATTGCGCCGATTTTGGTGCTAGTCTTCAGCAAAGAGGTATTTACATTATATGGCATTACAAGCGAAAGGCTACAAGGCTAGAACGGCTAGAAGTTAGTTATATGAGTAGGTGTCGGTGTAGTCTATAGTCTATAGTCGCAGACATCGTAATAGTTATCTATACTTCCTTAAAACAGTTCTTATAATTATGGAATAAGTTTTAGAAGTTATATAATTATATTATATAATTCGATAATTCTACAAATATTATACTAGTATACTATAGAGTACATAGCTGTATTCCCTCCCCCAAGTCCCAGCATATGTGCCGTTGCACAGGAATCCTTCAAGACACCTTAAGCATTACGAGGGTTATTTAACTAATGTATTGACCCTGAGAAAAACATAGCTGCAGCTCCAGGTCACAATACCAGCATGTGGCACGGAGCACTATGCAACCCCCAAATCTGAAGTTGGGACTTAGGGTCGGGTAGGCTTTCAGGTTTAGGTTAGTTGACCATACATGAGTAGCGATTTCGGGTTTTCAGGATTTTGGTGATATGTTAGGGTCAAGTCTCGGGGTTTGGATTTCGGTACCATCGGGATTTGTTCAGGGCCCCGCTGTCCTCGATCCAATTCTGCACCGCCAGTTGAAGTCGTAACAGATATCCAAGGTTCCTCAAAAATACTGCTAGGCCGTAGAGTTTGCTGAGAAGGCCGCCCCCAAGAAGACTCAACATGGAGACCGAGATCAAGTGTGTAGCATGGCTTTGGCAGCGAGCACAGTCCAAAAACCTCCCGTCTGGAAGCGAGGGATCAAAAGATGGTTGTGCAAGCAGGTGGTGATGCAACCTGAGGTTGGAATATGCTCCATCAACTTCATGCAGAACACATCGCTCCGAGCACGTACCAGAAATCATCCTCATCATCTCTGTAAGTGAGAAAAAAGAGGGATGATACTTCAGTGCATAGTATAATTGATCAGCCGAACTTCCCATCAAGGGCACTACAGGCATCACGATCCGCATGAGAATGGAAGCACCTGATGACCAAGAGACCAGCAATCGGCATCGGACAACTAGCACACTCCAAGCTGACTTGACAGTCTCAGCGGTTCCTCCTGGTCGCAATGTTGTGGCCACTGTCGTCTCATCCCATTTCAGTTGAGTATGGATCGTAGCAGGGGGATTGTTTCTGCAGTAGTTGTAAAGCTTGGCCAATAAGCGGGCCTGGGACATCATGAACACTCCTGAAACAGTCTTCTGCAGGCGAGGAATTGTTGATGAATCTACATCAAGGGCGGCGGCCAGGGCAATGTTACATGTGTTCATCCCAAATGCAGCCCTCAAGAACTTCGAGAAATGAATCTTTCGAACATATCGATTCCCTTTCGCCGCCTTCTTGTGCAGAACGATTTGTATGCCTCCCTTCCGACCAGCTACAACATTGAACTTGTCGCCGCCTTTACTAAACTCGCAACCATTCAAAGCCTCAACAACAAATTCCATCTCGTCCCTCGCTCGCTTTGCACGTTTCTCTGCCCTCATATGGGCACATACCATCTGTTGCTCCAGCGGCCCACCGTGACGACCTTTGCCTACTTTACCAACCAATGAATAGCCCTGCTTCTGACTCTTGGATGAAGAGGCAGCACCAGTCGCCTGAGGCACGATAGCAGATTCTTGGGCAGCTGGAAGCATGATCTCTGATCCAATCTGCTCGTCATTTGCCACCAAATCTAGCAGATCAAAACCAGATGATTGCCCAAGATCAAGTGCAGCACTCAAATCAGCAGAATTATCAGCGACAGCAGGATCTTCAGATGGAACATGCTGAGCAGATTCAACCCCAGTTGAACCATGCTCAGGCGAAGCTTCCCCATCCGAAAAGAACTCGCTAAAATCCATGCTGATTGGAAGCCGATATCGGCTGAGAGATGAAAGTGATATCTTATGCCGCATGTCGAAAGCAAGCAATCCCCCTCGTGCCCATGATCGCATGATGCGATTTGTTCTGTTGTCTCTGCAATATAAGCCCTGGCAATATAAGCCCTAAATCCTAAACCCCACACCCTAAAGTCCTAAATCCAAAACCTAAACCCTAAAGCCCTAAACCCCCAGCCCTAAACAAGTGGATGTCCGAAGCGCTGGAAGCCCAGGAGATTAAGTGTTCAACAACCACAGAAATAAGTGTTCAATATCCCAGAAGTAAGTGTTCAATATCCCAGAATTAAGTGTTCAAGAACCATAGAATTAAGTGTTCAATATCCCAGAATTAAGTGTTCAACAACCACAGAATTAAGTGTTCAATATCCCAGAATTAAGTGTTCAATATCCCAGAATTAAGTGTTCAACAACCACAGAATTAAGTGTTCAATATCCCAGAATTAAGTGTTCAATATCCCAGAATTAAGTGTTCAAGAACCATAGAATTAAGTGTTCAATATCCCAGAATTAAGTGTTCAACAACCACAGAATTAAGTGTTCAATATCCCAGAATTAGGTGTTCAATATCCCAAAATTAAGTGTTCAATATCCCAGAATTAAGTGTTCAATATCCCAGAATTAAGTGTTCAATAACCTAATAATATATCTACCCTTCTCCCCAAGCTCTTTCCTTGTAAAGAGAGGCCTCGATTTACTGTTAGAGGCAGGGCCTAATCTATGCTGGATCATCATATTATAAATGCATGTTGTATATTTTGCAGCCGTGTTACGGCTGCAAGGGGGCTTGCTGCGTGGCCGAGTCATCTGAAAAAAATCGGCACAAGCATCCGTAAGTGGGTCGATACTCGGTCGACAGCCATTCCACACTATAGCGTGACCGATAATATCCCAATTGAAGTCTAAGTCGACACGTTGTAGGTTCACTGGTCCTACAACGAGTCGTCCAGAAGCCCCACGTTCTTCCATGCCATGCAGTTTTTTCCAGGTCTCAGCCAGGGTCGCCATGGCATACACAGTGCAAATTTAAGTAACTGCGTTATATGCTTTCTCATGCGAACTGCACATGCCATGCAATCGAGTTAAATTCCCTGCCATGCAGTGCAATGCAGTATTGGCTGTACCAATCGGTCCGATAACATCATGAAGCCATCTGCAGCAGAGCGATACGAATCACTTGCATGCATTCCTCGCGAAATCACAGCAGTACAGAAACCAGCCAGCGGGACCGGGCACACCGTGGCAGGATGGCGACATCGCGGTCACCAAGAACGTTCTTCCGAATGACTTCCTATATATTATATATATTATCGATATATATATATATATATATATATAAGCCCTATCTTAAGGTAGTATACCCCAGATATCTATTAAAGTAGCTAGGCGAACCATCATGTATGCCGCGGAGCCTCTAAGCGGCAGCAATCGCGATTTTCCACGCGTTTCTTCAGAATCCATGCGTGACTGTTTTAGGGGACCGATTTAAGCGCCTTTTAAGGGTTTCTCAGCGTTTCTCGATGATCATGGAAAAAACCCTGACGAAGGAACCCCTAGGTATCTATCTATCTATATCTATCTATCTATATATATATATATATATATATATATTTCTATATCTATCTATCTATCTATGTATCTATCTATCTATATATATATATAGATAGATATAGATAGATAGATAGACATATATTCATGCGCGTGTACGGCGCGCACGCTGTCTTGCGACGGCGCACCGCGCCGCTGCCTGGCCGACGACTTCTGCAGGCTCGGAAGGGGCTGCATGTTGCAACATCTTCCTATACTGGTGTCTGTTGTTTGCCTGCCTCGTTTGGCTCGAAAGGGAGAAGCAAGGGAAAACGCGTTGCAGCATGTTGCACACATTGCAGCATCTCACTACACCTAGTACGTTGCCTTGCCTGCCTCGACGCTGTCTTGCGAAAGGGCCGGTGTGGAGGTTTTTCTCATCTTATCAGCTGACAATACTTAGGAGAGCTGTTTGCCCGCCTCGACGCTGTCTTGCGAAAGGGCCGGTGTGGACGACTTTTTCCATCCCATGGCTTTGCTGCTGCGGAAGTTGCGCGCGGGTTATGCCGAGCATGGCGAAGCCTGGCTCCGCACCGAGCTGGACAAGCAAAACCTGCAGGACCTGCGTGGGCTCGCTGTCGCTGCGTCTGTGCAACAGAAGTCTGCCGGGCGCACTCTCTCCAAAGCGGATCTGTTGGAAGCTCTATCACAGAGCATTGTCGGGGAGCAGGCTTCATGGGGCATCGGCGTTTTTGATGATTGTCCATGTCAGCTTCTGTTGCAGCGAGGCGTCAGTGTCGTCGCCAACGGTGTCTTGCGACGGCGCACCGCGCCGCTGCCTGGCCGACGACTTCTGCAGGCTCGGAAGGGGCTGCATGTTGCAACATCTTCCTATACTGGTGTCTGTTGTTTGCCTGCCTCGTTTGGCTCGAAAGGGAGAAGCAAGGGAAAACGCGTTGCAGCATGTTGCACACATTGCAGCATCTTACTACACCTAGTACGTTGCCTTGCCTGCCTCGACGCTGTCTTGCGAAAGGGCCGGTGTGGAGATTTTTCTCATCTTATCAGCTGACAATACTTAGGAGAGCTGTTTGCCCGCCTCGACGCTGTCTTGCGAAAGGGCCGGTGTGGACGACTTTTTCCATCCCATGGCTTTGCTGCTGCGGAAGTTGCGCGCGGGTTATGCCGAGCAGGGCGAAGCCTGGCTCCGCACCGAGCTGGACAAGCAAAACCTGCAGGACCTGCGTGGGCTCGCTGTCGCTGCGTCTGTGCAACAGAAGTCTGCCGGGGGCACTCTCTCCAAAGCGGATCTGTTGGAAGCTCTATCACAGAGCATTGTCGGGGAGCAGGCTTCATGGGGAATCGGCGTTTTTGATGATTGTCCATGTCAGCTTCTGTTGCAGCGAGGGGTCAGTGTCGTCGCCAGGTGGGATGTTTTGTGCTTTGAAGTGAAATAGTTCTTGCTGTCAGGCCGATGAACCGGCGTCGCAGCAAAAGCTGCAGGAGCTGCGCACGGGTTATGCCGAGCAGGGCGCAGCGTGGCTTCGCACCGAGCTGGACAAGCAAAACCGGCAGGAGCTGGCTGAGCTCTGCATCGCTGCGGATGTGCGACAGAAGTCAGCCGGGCGCAAGCTCTCCAGAGCGGAGTTGTTGGAAGCTCTATCACAGAGCATTGTCGGGGAGCAGGCTTCATGGGGAAGTGGCGTTCTTGAGGATTGTCCATGTCAGCTTCTGTTGCAGCGAGGCGTCAGTGTCGTCGCCAGGTGGGATGTCTTGTGTTTTGAAGTGAAGCAGTTCTTGCTGTCAGGCCGATGAACCGGCGTCGCAGCAAAGGCTGCAGGAGCTGCGCACGGGTTATGCCGAGCAGGGCGCAGCCTGGCTCCGCGGCGAGTTGCGGAAGCACAGTAAGGATGAGCTGGCTGAGCTCTGTGTCGCTGCGGATGTGCAACGACACGCAGCCGGGCGCACTCTCTCCAAAGCGGATCTGTTGGAAGCTCTATCACAGAGCATTGTCGGGGAGCAGGCTTCATGGGGAATCGGCGTTCTTTGATGATTGTCCATGTCAGCTTCTGTAGCGAGGCGTCAGTGTCGTCGCCAGGTGGGATGTTTTGTGCTTTGAAGTGAAGTAGTTCTTGCTGTCAGGCCGATGAACCGGCGTCGCAGCAAAAGCTGCAGGAGTTGTGCGCGGGTTATGCCGAGCAGGGCGCAGCGTGGCTTCGCACCGAGCTGGACGAGCAAAACCGGGAGGAGCTGGCTGAGCTCTGCATCGCTGCGGATGTGCGACAGGAGTCAGCCGGGCGCAAGCTCTCCAGAGCGGAGTTGTTGGAAGCTCTATCACAGAGCATTGTCGGGGAGCAGGCTTCATGGGGAAGTGGCGTTCTTGAGGATTGTCCATGTCAGCTTCTGTTGCAGCGAGGCGTCAGTGTCGTCGCCAGGTGGGATGTCTTGTGCTTTGAAGTGAAGCAGTTCTTGCTGTCAGGCCGATGAACCGGCGTCGCAGCAAAGGCTGCAGGAGCTGCGCACGGGTTATGCCGAGCAGGGCGCAGCCTGGCTCCGCGGCGAGTTGCGGAAGCACAGCAAGGATGAGCTGGCTGAGCTCTGTGTCGCTGCGGATGTGCAACGACACGCAGCCGGGCGCACTCTCTCCAAAGCGGATTTGTTGGAAGCTCTATCACAGAGCATTGTCGGGGAGCAGGCTTCATGGGGACTCGGCTTTTTTTGATGATTGTCCATGTCAGCTTCTGTTGCAGCGAGGCGTCGGTGTCGTCGCCAGGTGGGATGTTTTGTGCTTTGAAGTGAAGTAGTTCTTGCTGTCAGGCCGATGAACGTGCGTCGCACCAAAAGCTGCAGGAG